AAAGTAAGATTGAAACTTTTGAATAAAATCTATATGAAGACAGTGAAAAGTATCTACTATGTTCAGAAGTAGCAGATAAAATACTATAATTGAGAATATCTTTCAATGAAGTTCTTGATAAAGAATCAAGTACTACTTTCAGCAAAGAATATTAAGATAATAAGACTGTGTAAGAAGCTCAGTAAGTGATAACTAGAATCTTTCTCAGTAATAAGAGTGATGAGTAAGCAGACATATGAGTTAAAATTACTCATAGAATTAAAATCAATTCATTCTGTTTTTCATATTTTCTATTTAAAGCTCTATAAGTAACACTCTGAGACAGAGCTCTCTCAGCTGAATAATATCAAGATTAAGAATAATACTGAATATCTTATAAAGAAAATATTGAATAAGTAAATATATTATAATAAGCTTTAATATCTTGTGAAATGAAAAGATTATTTATTATCAGAGAATTCATGAGAACTGTTTAAGTATTTGAAAAATACTGAGAAAGAGATTACAAGCTATGAGATAACTAGTAGAGATTATCTTATTATATATCAGAGATATTGAGTAAGAAATACTATTTAAGACTTCTTATTTTTTTCTTAAAGAGTTTTTAGAGATAATCTTACAGTGATAAGCTGATATCTTATAAACTCTGTAGCACTCTTCTTCTATTTTCTCTCAAAGAATTTTTTAGAAGTTTAATAAGACTATACAAGTGTAAAATTCCTGAAGCAGTTAATAAGAAAAGAAAGAAATATTTAAAATTAATAAGAATTAATATTATCAATCTGTGAGTTACTACTATTCTAATAGAGTCACAGCTCACTGAAAAAATAAAAAGAAAGAATCTCAGAGTCTACTTATTAATAATCACACTCTTATCAAACTTATTCTTCACTATTAAAGTCTTCAGTATTAATATCTTTATCTGCTGAGAAGTTAGTACTGCAGTACTACAGAGAAGCATGCTATAAAAGAGTATAAGAGATGCTTAAAGTATTAACTTATTAATTTACAAAGCATCTCAGTTATCTGCTTCAATTGAAGTAAGATTCTTTTTAATCAGTGATTAATCTTTATAATACTTTCAACAGTGATATCAGCTGCTCTCTTTTTAAGCCCCGGTGGCTGAATGGTTAATGCGGCCACTCAGTAGCGCCTTGGCGTGGGAAATCAAGGCGCGTGGGTTCGAAACCCGCAGGGGATACATTAAATCCGGAACTCAAGCACCTCAGGTTTCTAATAAATACAGAGGTGTACAAATCACTTCAATGAATTGCTCTATGTTCCTGGGCTGAGAAGTTATTATCGCATGTATTTAATTGTCACTCCTTTGTATTTTCCTATGTTCTTGTTATCTTGGCGTGGTCTCAACACCTGTATTTCCTCCTGTATAACCAACACTTGACCTGTATTTAACATCACGCAAGGACTCATTATAAGCTCCGCTTGCATATGAGTATAATGAAAGAATAATAATAATGATCTCTTTTTAAGATCAGTTATTCTGAGATGTTTTTTTATCTCAGAGATTCATACTTTCATCTTCTTTTACAGATAAGCAAGAAGAATCTCTTTAGTCTTAATAGAATCTGTTAATACTTAGAGCTCTGAGACTCTCACTCTGTACTACTTAAGTATCTAGACTTCTTATCAGAGCTGATATAATATCTTTCTATAAGATAATACTTACAGAGAGACAGAAGTCATTATTACAGATATAATAGAAATAACAGAAGTAAGAGAAGAAGTGAATATATAAAATTCTTCTCTTCTTCAGCTACTTAGTATAGTGTAGATAAGTAGTAGTACTGACTAGAGACTGCACTGAAGCCTCTTCACAGAAAGAGAATAAAGAAACTGCAGAACTCTGCAGACTCAACTCAGTAGTAGTCTGAGCAGAGCTCAGATATACTGTGAGAGAGAAACTACAGATTGAGCTTCTCAGAGTCACTGTCTCTGAAATCAAGCTTTTTTCAGATTTCTCTCTGAATGATCACACAGAATCATACATCACTGTATTGACTGAAAAGAGAAGTGACATTACAATAATAATAAGAAGAGTAGAAGATGAACTGAACACAGACACACTGACTGACAGAAGAGACAACACTTTACTGCAAGGCACAGCAACTACTGCTGCAGCTGTAAGAGAAGTAGAAGAAGATGTGATAATAAGAGCAGTGCTTCTGCAGCTTATTAACATCACTGTCTTCAATCTAACTTTCTTAACAGTCACAGAGACTGCAGCTGTATCATAAAGATATTTACTCACTAGAAAACATCAGAATAAGTCTCTTATTATCTCTCAAGAATGATACTCTCATGCACTCACTATTACAGATGAGAGAGGGGGAGAAAAATGTATTATAGAGAGAAGAAATCTTTTCAAAAAATCCTATCACTACTGTTAGCTTTGTCTCTAAAATACATCACTTTTACAGAGAATTTCATACATAGAACAGAATATAATGAGAGATCTGTAAGTCACTTATTGACTACATTTTTCACATTTCAAATTGATATATAAGAAACTCACTTATTACATATTTGATTTGAATGAAGATGAGAAAAGAAAGATCTATACAGTCAGTAGAAAAACTCATCTATTTCTTTGTACAGTATATATACTGTCAATCAGTTAGTAATTATTATTATATAACAAAGATAATTTCTAATTCAGTAATCTTAAGAGTATCAGAACTATGCTTTTAAAGAGAAGAGTATTATCATATCTCTGATTATGTTAAGACTCTGCTACAGTTTCATATGACTTATTACTTTTATACAGATGATTTCATTCATTCTGTAGATTATTTAAACCAGTTTTCAATCACTTTATAACATTATTCAGATATATTATAGAAAGATCTGATTGATAAATATAAGAATCTCACTTCTATACAAGATCAGCAGATTACTCTTTCTTAGTAGTGAGACACTGCTGAGATATCAGTTCAGCTATTCTTACTCATGAAATGAGAGAAGAATATTCACTCATTATCTATATAGAATAGCTAGATGCTGGCTTCTCATTAAAGAAGTCAGTGATTCATTTTTCTTCTACTGAAATATATATAAGAGTTACTGCATGTCTCATACAATCTTCTTAGTATACTAAGTATCATATCTGTGATATTCTTGCAATAACTCTGTAGCCTATAAGCTTACTATTTAAGCAAGATAGTTAAGCTCACTCATACAGCTTCTCAAACAACTACTTCTACATAATGCCGCTGACTAGTCACTGCTTCGGTTCCGCACATTACAGAATCCTTGTTCTAATGATAATTTTAGTGAAAGATCTGTTCAGAAGATCTTTTCATACTTCTTCAGAAGCTTCTTTATATACTTATTCTTCTACATATTCTTTATCTTGGTTTTCTTCACTTTCAGATTCTGTATGATATACAGAATGCTTTTGAATAAGATCTTATGAATCATTCTCTTTGCTTGTTGATATGTAAGCAGATTTAACTCTTTTATATCAGAGATATGAAATATTCTTCTCATATCAATTAATAGAATTGTATGAACTGTTTTCTTTCTATTGATTAATTATATATAATATATGCATCATTGAATCTGCAGATTGAATCTTTGAAATCAATTAAGTCTGAGAATAAGATTGTATTTCATGTTCTGCAGCTCTCACACTCAAATATAGTAAGATCATTCTTTGAAGTGCAAGAGAACTCTTACTCTTGCAGATAATATTAAATATTAATTATCAGATAATCTTATATATCAGAGATTCTTCACTTGATAAACCTCTTTCAGTCTTCAGATTATATAATTATCAATATATTGTGTAGAAGCTTCTGTGTCTGCTAATACTTTTACAGTCATCTCTTAATTCTTACTCAAGTATCTCTTATATATTATCATTTTAAGTCTCAAGATATTGAGATGAGTGTTCACTTTATTCTCACTCACATCTTAGTCAGAAGCCTGCTTTCTCTTGATATTCACAGAATTCAGAGAGTCATCTAACATGAGCATCTCTTTCACTTTAAAGACTTTTTATAGAATATGAGTGAGTGTCTTCAAGCTCACTGATTCTGCTAGTTTTTTAACTCTCTTACTTCTCTTGACTGTGCATACTGAGTATAATCTTTTATATTATGATTTTAATATTTGCAGTTGAAGCAAGCTTGATGCTCATAATATCAAGATTTTCACTCAGAGAATCTCTTTTTCAGAGAATTCAGTGCTTTAATGATAGTATTCAGATCTAGATTCATTGCATTCAGATATATAACTTATATTATAGAAGTCTGATTACTCATTCTCTGCTGAGATATACTCAATTACAGTATTTTCTGTTATAATTAACTTACTTATTTCTGTATAATAAGAATGTTATATGCTTCTTTCACTGTATCTGATTACAAGATTAAGCATTTTCATTCTACTCTCAACTTGAGTGTAAGATCATGAATGAAGATCTGTAAACAGAAAGATATTGAAAGCTCTTTATTTAATACAAGATAGTGTAAGCTGAAGTGTGTGAAGTATAATATAAGATTATTCACTTATCTACACTCAGTGAAGTATTTATAATACTTATCTCATATATTCACTTTCTCAAAGTTATGCAAGATTCATTTGAAAAACTCATTGCATATTTATAAGAATAAATATTACTCTGAGTCTGTGAGATTTATCTTTTCATCAGTCATTTATAATGACTTCACTTTTCTGTGTAGAAACACAGCAGATCTTAAGACTTGTTAAAATTCTGTTAACTATCTGTCTGTAAGTTCATGTTTAATCTGATAATATAATTATATCTGACTTAGTCAGCTGATTGCAGCATTATTTTTTCAGTTACTATTAAAGCTTGATAGCTTCAGCAGATCTCTCAGCTTAATATATTTTATATTCAGATTCTCATTCTATGCAGTGATCTCTGATAATGTGTACACTTCTGAAGAGATTGTGAATAATTATGATAAGATCTTCAGATTCAGTATAGTTATTCATCTATGTAAATATTTAATCTCTCACTGCAGATCTAAGATCTGATTTTCTCTATTCTTATTAATGATAATGATTGCATCAGCAAAGCTCTTCATAGTGAATACTTGATCTGCAGCAAATGTCAATTATTATTTAGCTTCTGTCTCAGCCTGTCACTGTGTATACAAGGCCTCAATCTTGGTTAGAATTCTTGTACATATACAGAGCTTCAATTTCAGTTCAGCAGTTTCAGCTGCTTTTCTTACTACTTTGAGTAAACTCTCTGAGAGATTCTGTATATCTTTCAGTTCAGATAGCAGAGAAGAGTGTTATTTATATCAGTTAGAAAAGATATTCATTTCAGTGATTTCTCATTAATTGTATAATATCTATTATTATATCACTGTATCATTATATCACTATATTATTATATAATTTCTGTTATTATTGTATAACTCTGGTGATAGCCACTCTCTCTTTTATCTCTTTGAGTTAAGAGTGATCTTCTTTGAATCTGATTTACTACTCTCATTTCTTTTCTCACATCTCATTTATTTATATATGTGGCATTCATCTGAGTGTGAAGTTTTTTCTCAATAAGTAAAGCAGTATCAATTAAATGCTCTTTTACTTATCACTCTTTGTATACTATCTTTTGAGATGTTCTAGAATCACACTGATATGATAACTATGAATTGCTTTATAGATGAAATTATCATGCTCTGAAGAAGTCTGCACTTCTCATCAGTTTTTAGACATGCTATCAGATGTGATTCAAAGATTGCTTGAGTCAGTGTACAATTACAGGCGTACACTGACTTCTTATATATTGTACACTAAATTAATTAGTGGCTGCTATGGCCCCTTTACACTCGTAAGCAAGTTCGGAAGCGGCCGCGTTATTATCCGACGGTCGTACGTTCTTCCGAACCATACTGAGATCACTATCACTGACTCTTTTATCAATCATTCTCATAATTACTAACTGATTTTGAGGTGCATTCTTGACTCTTATTTCAAGAGACAGTTTCACCAGATCTCTTTCAGATGTCAGAGAGAAGATAATGCTATTAAGCTGATCTGCTGTATTCTCAAGAGTAATTCCTCTCAGGTACAGTGATGATACATTGAGATCAGAAGTATGACTCTCAATTAGACTGACCGTGTGACCGTGTCTGGGACCAGGACCAGATTTTTTGATAGTTTCATTACCAATTCGACTGATCCCATTACACAGTTTTAACATTAGATAGTAGTCCCATACTGTCTCAGTGAGACTTACTGTCTACTCTTGTCACATTTTCCAAATGAGACCATGATTTCCACTTCTCAATTTAAATTATTTTTATTGCTTTAAATGACTTTAAATCTCATTTGAGCGTTATCAAAAAGCGTTACTTTTTAAAAAATTAAAAATAGTCTAAAAAAAACCTTAAAATGTCTAAAAATAGTAACTTTATGCCAAGAATGGGACTAAATGGGACCAAATGGGACCACTTTCTCATTTTTTTCAAGTCATGGTTTCATTTTAAGATCTGATATATAGTCACTTTATCTGTTTTTTTGATAGCCAGTCCCAGCGGGATTCACGCCAAGAAATGTATGAGACCAGACCAAATGGGACCAAACGTGAAATTCATGATCCCGGCGGCCAGTCTACTCTCAATGTCTAGTCTATTAATATTCTCTAGCTGAGAAGCAATTATATAAATCTTAAGATAGATATAAACTATCATTATATTTATAAAAGTAGAAAATTCATTACTCTTTGATACATCAGTTATTATTTTATTAGAAATTCTTCTAAATTTCATTATTACAACTGTGTACTGTCTCTTATTCTTTTCACTTATTAATTCAATATTAGTAAATAATGCAAAATCAGTTAAAGTAAGAGCAAGATCTTCAAAATCATTATTAGAGAGATTATCATATTCTAAGTATCTCATTTCTAAGTTAAATAACTTTTAGAAAAGAATTTTTAGATTCTTTTTAAAACAGTTAACAATGATTAAAGAGTGAGAATCAAAAAGAATTAAGAATATATAAAGTAGAATTTAATAGACAGTGAGTCTTTTATTCTATAGAAATTATTAGCAGAGAATTATAGTAGTAAAGTAAAAGTATCTATTAGTATTACTTTTTCAGTGTTATAACTGACTCTGATATCTGTAATTTTATTATTCAACTCTCTCACTATCTACTAGTATTATTCTTTGATAAATATTATCTTCTTTAAAAGAGTTTATAATTTATATAAAGTTTCAGTCTTCAGAGCTCTCTGAAAAGATTATAATATAATGTTCATTCTCTTTATACAGTCTGCAAGAGTAAAGAGAAGAGAGTTGAACATTTAGAGAATAGAGTACTATTTAATCATATTATTAATATGATTTCTAAGAGTATATAAGTGATTTTTCAACTGATGTAGACATCTTGTGACTTTCTTCTATTAAGTTAATTTGAGAAGATACTGATATATTTTATTCAATCTCTTTATAAAGCTTTGTTACTCTGTCTTCATGAATTTCTGATACTTGATTGTCATCTCATCTTATTTTTTACAGATAATACTAAATTTATCAGCTAGATTTCTATTTCTAATAATCTTTAAGTAAGCTTGTCCGACAGGCTGAGACAGCTTGAGATGCTCTCTAAGTAAAAATAGCACTATTAATCAGATGTGGCGGGCTGCGCCCGATCAATTATATAGACTATTTCATTACACTTCACAGATTTCAACCACTTCATTCTCAAACATGTATGCTCCGATTCTCGGCCATTCTTGATTGCTGATCCTTGGCCACTATGAACGTGTATAGATTCTTCCGCTCTGAAGCTTCATCATGTACATCATCACATACACATATAAATATTCACTTCAATTGCTGATTCTCACACTTTCTCTTTCTTTTTCTTCTCTAACATTTTTCTCTTTGTTATATAAGACCTATTAATATAATACTGATCTATTCAGTGTAGACCTCTTATACTAGAAAAATATTCATCATCTTCTTATTAGAAACAATTACTCACTGAGATATCTAAACATGTAACAATATATAAGAAATAGAGAAACAGTCAAACAGTTAAGCAAATACTGAGTTCTCAGATAAAAGCTTGCTCACTAGTCACTCTAACTCTATAATAAGATCTTATGAAGAGAGTAAGATTTTATAAGAGAATATCAGTAAAAGATCTGAGAGTTCTGACATCTCAGATATATGAGATATTTATATAATTATATATCTGATAATTCATATAATCATGTATAACAGTAATATGAAACTCTTAAACATGAGCATAGATGTGATATCACAGTGACTTTAAGTAATGTTGAAATTACAATAATAATAAATAGCTGATATGCATACAACTCAATAACATTAATATGAAGAGATTCAATAATTATTACAATAAGAAACTCATACAATTTCAACATCTACAGAATTAAATATAAAAGCACTGAAAGAATACTTAGATACTTCTGTCTATTTTAATACTTTTAATCTCACTCTCTACTTATCATGAAGAATGAAAATACTCATGAAACTGAGTGTAGATGAAGATGTCATCAGTTCATTAATCAATCAAGATTGATATATCAATGAATAATTGAAGAATTGTATAAAATAGAAGTTTCATTCATGAATAAAAGTATATAAATCAGTGTTGTAAATATCTGATAATATTATCAAACATCTTGATATTCTGTTCTGAGATACTGTCATGCAATAGAAAGTATTAAATTGATTACAGAGTATCTGACAGAGAAACACTTCTCTTACAACATTCATTTCTAACTTTGATATCAAGATTCTAGAAGCAGATAATCAATCTTGAGAGAATTGAATAAAGATTAGCATGCTTAAGAAGACATTAACTTTTGAACTCTTACAGACTCTTGAAAGTGTAGATGAAGATTAGACTTATGAAGATTTCTGCACACAGCTTCAGACATTGAATAATCATCTTATCAAGCTTAAGAGTATACAGAACAGTGATAGAAAATGTTACACTTCAGTCACTCACACACCTGTACTGAGAAATAACAATAATGATGCAGATGCTATGAACTGAGTAGACTTGAATATCTATATATAAGCAAGAGTCTTTACTGTCTGAACAGGCTTCTGAGTCTCTGAGATCACTTCTGAAGAAGTCGCTGATTGACATCAATGAGAAGTATACATTAACTGTAATTAATCAGAATATACTACTTTTAACTATCAATCAGTCTATGTGCCTTCTTATTTAAAGAATGAATCAGTGTCTGTTCATGTCAATCACATTGCAGTGAAGAAAGATTCAGAAGATAATTATAAGAATGTCTCAATAAAACAGGGAAAAGATTAGCTTCTGTTCAAATTTGCAAACAGAAGCTTGAAGAGGTCAGATAATAACAATTTGAAGAGAAAATAACAATGAATGTGATTCTTGTATCTACTGTGATTGATAATATGTATAATATGAAAGTCATGATAGACAGTGATCTATGTTACTATGCAATGATAAAATCTTCAGTTATAAGATATTATAATCTTCAGTATATCTTCTTATCAAAACTCTGACTTCTCACAGGATTTTGTAATTCAAAGGTTGCTTGAGCCAGCATACGATTACAGGTGTACGCCGGCTTCTTATATATCATACGCTAAATTAATTAGTGGCTGCTATGGCCTCTTTACACTTATAAGCAAGTTCAGAAGCAGCCATGTTATTATCTGACAGTCATACATTCTTTCAAATCACATTCTCTCTCATCAGATTCAGTCACACTCATATAATCATAACATTCACTCTAGCTTCATGCAGATTAGCATGTCACTAGTGTTCACAATCTTGTAATCTCTCTCTGATTCAGCTAGCATTCTGTGTACACTCTTACAAAGAAACTTTCACTATATTATATCTCTCATTCACTAACTTTTCTCATTCTTCAATCATCTTCATCATCATCATCATCATTAAATATTATCATTATTCAAGATTTCTATTTCTTCTTCTGTTCAACTCTTTCTATCTGTTCATCTATCATATTATACACATTTCTGACAATGACTTCCTGTTCTCATAACAAGTATTATTATAGTACTCATACTGAGCAATTCATTAGCAGTAAGTATAACACATTATGAAACATAATCAGAACTTATTTATCTTCTAATGATTATCAGAATATATTGTTATGAATATTACATCTTCTTCATCTTCTTATACACTCTTAACTGTTTTTCTTCTCAGTGAGTTTCTGATCATATTTTCTGACATGATTTTATATAAACACAGATACTGATATGTTTGTTTTTATTTATATAGAATCTTTATACATTAACAGATCTGTATCTACTAATAATAGTGAACTCAATGTTAAATTATTAATTAAGAACTTAAAAAATATAATAATAAAGAAATTATTTGTATTATATATAACTGAGTCTTCTGTATCTCTTCTTATCTTTTATACTACTTCTTTCTCTGCTGCTTCTTTCTCTGTTTCTTTCTCAGCTGCTTTCTCTCAATCTTCTACACTTGTCTCTGTATCTGATTCTCTCACTCTCACTATTTCTGTTTCTGTGATTCTCACTTCTACTACTTCTGGTTTTATCATCTCTGCTTTTATTATCAGCTCTTCTCATTTCAAGAAGATGTTGCATAGACTTAATGAACTATGTTTATCAGCATATACACTCTCATCTTTCTTATCAACTTCTAGAATAATTTATTGTATAAAGACTGTATATAATATAAGTATCTGAAGCTCAGTTACAGACACTGATTATTACATTTATTTTAAATATTTATGATAAGATAATTATTCATTTATATCAGAGAATCACTTTCTCTCTTAACAGTATTAAAATTATAAGTTTTTTTTTTCATCTTTTCTTTCTAACACTGATTTTTCTATTCTTAGAGAAAATTGTTATGAGTTTTACTGTGTACAAAGTCATGGCATTCACAGATATTAAGAAACTTTTCATAATTGTTAAATTCAATATTGCAGATATATCTGCTTTAATAAATTTCTTTAAGATTATAGATCTGTATCAGTCTATTCTCTGATATCTGTCATTCAACTTCATAGTGCAGGCGAAAGATATCTGTGTTTTCAGAAATGAGAATATAGATATCATACTTTTTTACACTCACAGATGTAAGACTTGTACATCTTATCTAAGATATTATTATGAAAATGAGCTATTCACACACTGTGTTCTGCTTTCTGTATTTTCTCATATCTCTCTCTCTCTTTCTGAGAAGTCTTATGTGTGTTGTAATTATGTGTACAATTCTAAGATCAGTGAGTGTTTATT